TAGTAACTCAGTTCTTATCTTTCTTAGCTTTTCATCCCTTTCGTTCTTCTGTCTCAAGGCTTCCCAATCTATAACCAAGGGTATCAATAGGACTATCAAATCCCGTTCACATACAGACTTTGGCCTTGCTTTGACTGTAAGAACCTGGTTGAAGTAGACAATCATGACTGATTCTGCATGAGCACTGCTCCCAATCTGTATCTTGATGTATCAATCTCCACCGCAAATGGATTACTGAAATCTGAAAGTGCTAATACCAGTACGCTAGTCATGGACCTCTTCAAATGTTCAACTGCTCTGTTAGTGACCATGCAATCATGTCATATTCTCTCATGAACTTCTGGTAGTAGTAGCTGAGACTCAGGAATCCCCTCAAGGCTTCTTGGTAAGGGCCAATCAACCATAACCTCGATCTTGGACTGGTCCGCTGCTACCTCCGTTCTGGTTACCACATATCCGTAGTACTCCACCTGTAATTGTGCAAATAAACATTTCTTCAAGTTGGCATACAACTGGTGCTCCTTCAATTTTTCCAAGACGATCCTTAAGTGCCCCACATGCTCTGTCTCTGTATGACTGTAGATCAAAATGTCATCAAAGAAGATCAGGATAAAGTTCCAGAGATAATGAAGGAAAACCCTATTCTTGAGGGATTGAAATGTCGCCCGCGCGTTGGTGAGGCCAAACGACATCACTAAGAACTCCTAGTGTCCTTCATGTTTCCTGAATGTCGTCTTATGCACATCCGTTGGATTCATCTTGATCTGGTGGTATCACAATATAAGATCAATTTTTTGAGAAAATGACTGCTTCATAATGTTCACCCAATAACTCATCAATAGCAGGAATCAGAAACTTATTCAACACCGTCTCCTTGTTCAAAGCCCGGTAGTCCACGCAGGATCTCCAACTTCCATCTCTTTTCTTCACCAACAGGATGAGACTGGAAAAAAGGCTCACATTAGGCCTGATAATCCAACATCAAGCTTCTCTCTAATTAGCTTATCTATCTCATTATTTTGAATCTAGGGGTACCTATATGGTCTGAAACTGATGGGAGAAACACACTCCTTCAAGGTAATAGAGTGCTTGTGCTCCCTCAGGGGAGGTAACCTGCTTGGCTGTAGGAATACATCCCTGAACTATTGTAGGAGTTGTGGTCCCCTTCAAGAAACTTTGTTAACTCTGAATCTCAAACCTTCTTAATGCCCTGCAACTATACCAAGTAGCCTAATCCTGCTCCCCATATCAACTTGACCATGGTTTTGTGCGACACCATAGTTTTGCATAAACTAGCATCTCCTTTCAACGTTACCTTCCTACCCTCCACTTGGAACTCCTTTGTTAGGGACTTCCAATCCACCTTCATCTCCCCTAGCGTTCGTAGTTTCATCCATAAAATCACATTTGTGTTGCCCAAGTCTTAGGGAAGGAAGTCCTTCACCACCTATATGCCGTGGAGTGCTAGAACTAACCCTTTGCAAACTCCCCAAATTTTATCTACCTTTCCAGTACCTTCCCTGTCCTCATTATGACATCGAAGCTCCCTGTAGTCACTAGCTCAGCCCTAGCTTCTCCACAACCTGATTTGTGATAAATTTATGTGTGGGCTCGCTATCCACCAACACCACAATCGACTATACCCTTATCCACCCCCTCATCTTTATGGTGTGATTCAGGGTAAATCTCACCACCGAATTGAGGGACACCTCCACCACATCCAAATGCAGATACTCCACCACATTCTCCTCTGACTCTTCACTCTTTGTATCGTCTTAAACTAGAAGAATCTGAAGGGCACGCTCTTTAATGTATATTTTTCTTCATAGCGGAAACACAATCATTTTGCTCTTTTATCTGCACTTCTGCGTCTGTGAGGTGCTTGAAATTTTCCCTGGGATGGGTTCCTATATTCTTCCCCATCGGTGTCTCTTTATGAACAATCTCCGTTTGGGTCGCTGTTGTTGTGGCTGTTAAGGTGTTCTTATTAAATCCTCCGGTGTTGCCTCCTTTATTTGTCTTCTTCACCTGTTTCTTATCCTCCATCATCTGGGTGAGCTCCATCATTTCTCTCAATCCTCACTGTCTTAATAGTCGGATGGCTGCTCGGATGTCGGGCTTCAGACCTTTCAAGAAGTTTCTTTCAAGTTCTGCTACAGAAATATCCCTCAATCTTTCTGACAAAAGCTCAAACTTCTCCCGTTCTTCCTTAATCGTGCCCTCCTGAGTCAGAGCATAGAATTGCTTCTGTAGGTCTCATTCCTAAATTACTTGGAAAGGCTCCAACAAGCAATCCTTATACTCCTCCCATGAGTGCATCGAATATCTTGCCTCCATTCTTTGAAACCACACTAAAGCCTTTCCCTCCAAGCATAATCTTGTTGTCATGCCAAATTTGGGTGATATAAATGTAAAAAACAAAATTAAGGTATTAGATATGTAAATGCTTAGGAATTGGGTAGTTTGTATGTAAAAGTCCCCAGCCATTACATGAACTGAACACTGCAGTATCAAATCAACTCATGTTTGATTTAATACTCATGTTTGATTTAATGATATTGAATTTGGTTATTAAAATATCATTATTCTAAATATTAAAAAGTAGAATACGATTTTTTATGCAAAGATAAGGTGTTATGTATAAATTAAAATTTGTTTGTATGATATGCAAACACATATGTTAGTGGTATGCATGTAAATATAATTAAGGAAAGAAGTTTTAAATCTAAATGGTCTTGAATTCAGGATGTGGACGGTATTAATTATGGCTTACATTAAAAAAAGAAGAAAAAAATACTAATTAATATCTCATTTTCTGGTAAAAAGTTCTTAAACCAGAATTTGCAGAAGGTTGGGAGGGTATCAAACAAACGATTGTGCGGGTTGAAGTTTGTGAAAATCAAAGACATTATTATATCGAAAGGAGAGGTTTAAAGTATAATGTCTCAATCACGGTTGAATTTGTAATAAATATTTAAATTTTTTTTAATATAATTTAAATAATACAATTATGATGTAATATTATTTTTTTAATCAATTTAAAAATTAATATTTTAATTTAATATAATATTTTTAAATATTTTAAATCATTTAAAACCTTACGAAATAAAATTAATTCTTCACAAAATCATATCTCATTATAGGGAGAAAGATAAAGAAGACTACTCAGAATTCATGAGAATGATACGAGAAAACACAGATTTTATATATACAAATAAGTTTTTAAAAAAAAGAAAGAAATGAACACAACTTATCTCACACTTCTTCCCAAACAAATCTCTAGAGGTTCCCTTTAACCACTTTCTCTCTTTACAATCACACTCAATTCTAACACGTTATAAAGCCCGGATAAAATATGACTTATTATTCAAATTTTGTTTTATGGTTAAAATTTTCCTTCCTCTGCGCAACACACAAGAGTCATAGATCACATAATATATTATCTTTTTGTCGAAACATATAAGTAAATGAAATTCTATGATTAACACAACTACGAAAGAGCCTGATTCCCCAAGAAAATGATATAGGAAAAAAACCATAAAAAAAAAAAATCACGAAAACCACCTACCATAAATCATATAGACGCGAAAGAAAATTTAGCCCACGCATGTTTAAAAAAAAATACTGGAAAAACATTCCATTAAAATCATTCTTGCAAGTAAAGCTAAAATGTAAAAACTTACAAAACAACTTGTTTACTCATCAACAGCAGCAAACTCCCATCTCATAAAATAATCCTCTCAGAATATATATTTAGCTCTCTCAAACTATCACATGTATTGAATTGGTTGAACTTTTTAAAATCATAGTAAAAAGAATACTAGCAAGTCACCTCTAATAGACCCATCTACAGACTTTAGCAATCGGGCTATTAAAGGGCATTTTATTACATACCACTTTAAAACACTTCATATTATTTTAAATCAATGTTCTAATGAATTCAAGCATGACTTACATTATTTTAAAAAAACTTTTATTGCTCGTATGAGAAAGTTCTCCGTAATAAGCTCTGAACTCGCACAAAACAAAGTGAGGGTATTATTTGATTTAAAGGAGGCAGCCTCTCAATTTAATGTCAATATGGATTATATATGAAAGTTTAGGTGTGTGATATATAAATATATAAAAATTGTGTCATCTTAGCAAATGCCCCCAATTTATTAATAATAGAAAATAGTAAAAAACAGAGAAACAGTGTTCTACGAGGGAGTTTAATACTACAGCTTTTGTTGTTGTTCTCTCATCTTGAGGAAAAAATATTGTGTTTGGAGTCCGGACGTTGAACTGAGTTTGGATAACGGACATAATACAGCGGGGCAGAGCAGGAGCTCAGACCTCCGCTATTTCACGTCCATTGTCCGGACGCGAGTCCTGTCTCCAGACGCAATATTTTCCCCATCTCGAGAGGCCACTAAAACACATTAGCCCGCAGAACAGGAGAAAGGAAAATAAAACAACTATAATAATACATAATTTTCATTTCATTTTTCTATCCGTTCCAAGCTTCCGAGCAGACAATTCATGGGCACTCAAATTAGCCTGCAACGCAAATTCCTCAGTAGGCTAAAAGTTGTTATGGGGGTGACCTCTCAAATAAAACATAGCTTAGCTCATAACTGAGATGAGATATTTTTTTCAGGCAATCTTATTCTTATGAATAGAGAGTTCAAAAAAATACTTCTAAAAACATGGGCATTTACATACATACCGCCCAATTCCTATATAATTACATATCTAACACCTAAACTATTTATATTTATAACCCCCAAATCTTTCTTATCACATACAAAATACCAATATTTTAATTTTTAAAAAGTGAAATACACATTTCCATGCATAAAGTGGCATATATGTAAAACTTGAAGTTTGTGTTACATATATGTAAATACATAGAATTGAGTGGTATGTATGTAAATCTTTCAAAAAATGTTTCAGAAATACTTTCTTGATCAAATGCGATGTTAATGACAGCAAGGAAGTGGCTCAGTAAACCATCAGTATTATCATGTTCCAGCTGAGCTAAACTATTAACAACATAAAGCCTGATTAACTTTGGTCAATACAAGCCTCATAGCCGTTGCATTTGCTTTGAAAATAAATCGAACTGCATTCATCTTAAAGCAAATCTACTAGTTTTACGACTCACTTTATGTCCAACGTGACTGCATCAGAAAATGTATATGCAAAGTGAAATAATCATATTGGGATAAATTCAAATAATCAAAATGATACCATGAAAGATGAAGAATTACTCCAGCGACAAGTTTTTGCTCCGTATTTTGCGCTGTTGGTCGGCTATGCCTTTGGCGAGCCGTTCGGATGCCAGAATCAAATCTCCATGTCTTGCATTTATAGAACTGCTGGCATGTTTAGGCTTGAACCACCTTTTTAAAGTGAGGCCATTTATTCTTATTTTACCATGAGATTCATCTCCCTGATACCGTAGCCCCAATCGCCTCAGTAAAGATCCAACTGCTTGACCGACCCTGCATGGATAGAGTTTTGTTTTACTTTTTAAGAATAAAAAATCTGCCATTTATGATGTTAGAATAGGGGGGCTAGTTCAGAAATGAAAAACAGCAGTGCAAAATTATTTCTTTGTTTTCCTTTTAACCTTTACAACTAGGTTCACTATCCTCTAGAATGGCTAATAAGAATCTAGTACGTATAGAAGGTTTTAAATATAGCTTCTGAGAATTAGATAGAATATCTGTGGGATCTCCAGCAAGTTTCTGGTTTACAGAGAATTACACTAATACTAGATGTATGTAGTGGTGGAATCAAGGGAGTAGCTGTGGGAGGCACTCGCCAACACAAAATTTTACTAAACCTCTTTAATATCATATTATTTTTTTTAAAAAAAATTCCTTCCTAAAATTAAATACTTAATAATAATGTAATAGTAAGTATTCATTTGATTTAAAAATCATAGTTATAATAGTTCTAAAAATTTTAAAGAGATTGAAGTTTTAAGGTGAAATATTCACCACCACTTACTTCTTTATTTCACTATCCTTCAATCTAAGTTTCAGAGCACCATCTTTGCTTCCAAGAGTTAAAACAGAATGCCTAATGATGAACTTTACTTCAAATTCAAAAAATAAAACGGATGGAGGTGTGCAGGAAGGTTAAAAAGGGAAGAAAAGTTTATAGCAAAAAAAAAATAATTTTACCAAAGGAAAAAAAAGTGCTACGACGCCCTTTTGTTGACCACCAGAAAAATTAATAGTAAGCACACTAAATTGCAGTGCAGAAAACGATGGCATGCTCGTTCTACTCACCAGCATACAAGGGACCTCGCAAAAAGATCTTTTCATCTTTTTACAGATGTTAAGTATTTCTTATTCCCATTTAAGTAAAAATTTGAAGGAGAGACTTCAACCTTGCTTCAGGATTCTGCTAATAATATTATACCTAAATGTATGGGGCTACTTCAAAACTTAGGAGGGTTGACATACATATCACATAGTTCTTATTTATTTATATTTCTAATACCTAGACTTTGACATTTATTTATACAACACTCATCTTTAACAAAACATCAGAAATACCACTAATATATATATATATATATTAAAAAAGCGCAAGGGCTAATATATTAAAGAGAAAAGATACAAATAGGTTGTATGAGTGGGCCAAAAAATAGACACCCAAAAAATAGACACCCAACCCACACAGTACAACACACAAAAAAGTCAAAAAAGGGTACATATATAAAAATAAAAATAAAAACAAAAAACCACCAATGCGCGGAAAAAGTGAGGGTCATCCCAATTCAGTTCTGCCTCTGCCTATAGTTCTCGAAAGGGATTCAAATTGGTAAGGTGTGTACCATTACTCGAAGTAACCAAAGTATCATCCGTAAGATTTCTGAGCTCAAGTAGATCTCCATTCTTTTTCTTCCTCCCAGAAGTGTAAGCCTGTTATTCCTCATCCGAAGAAAGAATCTGATGAGGTGATAGAGCTGTAGCAGAAGGATTACCAACAGTAATATCATCAATAGGTTCTAGTATATGTGAAGTATGAGTTGTCTCTACAGCGGATACTTCCTGAAGAAGGGGAACTGCGAGACACTCCTGATTATCAGTCTAAACACTATCCTTTGTAGGTAATAGTCCTTTAGTATTGTTTCCAATGGGGTTTGACCAATGGGGTTTGAAGGTGTCATGAAGGTGTCAGCATCACATCAATCGCAGTAAAAGTAACAATAGCGTCAGGGGTGTCCACAGGGGCAATAAACACCTCCTGTCTAGTAGTATCCTTCCCATGAGGAACTAAAATGTCCAAAGCAGTGGGGTTAGACCCATCCTTATTCACTTGAACCTTAGATTTCAAATTAGGATATAGCTTGTGACATTTATCAAGATATGCCCAAACATCTTACAGTGGGTACAATATGAAGGTCTGTGTTTCATGACGATTTGTTGTCAACATATAGAACTACTTATAAGACTCCTATAGGAATGTCCTCATATAGACTTATTTTTGGAAAAACATGTTACTTACCAGTAGAATTGGAGCATAAAATATTTTTGGCTATTAAAGAATTTAATTTTAATCTAAAAGATGCTGGTGAGAAAAGAATGAGCATCGCCGCCGTCGGAATCGTCCTTCACCTCTGTCCCTCCAACCGCGCGAGTAGTCTCACTACGAAGCGGAAGCAAAGTGGTCGAGTATTTAGGAGTGGAGAAAGTGAAGGAGTTCCATGGATTTGAGCTTCTGGAAAGTTTAGGTCTGGAATGAAAGGGCAGAGATCGTGCAGAGCCCGTTTGGCCGCTCTGAAATTTTGGTGAGAGGAGGACGTGGAAGGTGGAGCTCGACGGCAGATGCGAGGGAGAGGAGGGTCACGGGAAACATATGATGGCAGGGTCACGGGAGTCAAAATGAGATTGAAAACGCGGACCGCGGAACGACCCCCGCGGTCCACGTCTTTTATAAAATCGAAAACACAGTTTTGTATAAGTTGTTAATAAGTGCTAACCAAACACCAAGGCGGCGTTTTCGAAATGCCGCCCGCACTTTTAAGCTGCCCCAAACAGACCCTAAATCAAAAGTGCCGCATGAGCCTGTGATGTAGCAACAACATATCTTCCACACTCCTCCCATATCCCCCTATGACAACACTCTCTACCATAGATGTTAAAGCTGAGTCTATCTCCACTTTATCCAAGTACCAAAGTTCACTGTCATATTTTGTTCCTTTCTCTTGAAAGATCATCTTAGGAATATTCAATAAAACAACACATTTTAGTTGAAAAATAACAATACTAAAGGATAAAATGTTCACTGGAAAGAAAAAAGTATCCAAATATTGGGCAAAGTCATATAATCGATACACCTCACTCTACTCTTAACAACTACAGCCTGTTGTACCATCAGTAGTTTGGATGCTCTCTGGAGTTGCTAGATGAGATAGGAAGAGAATCCTTAGCAGTACTTGTCACATGTCGATATGAACAAGAATCTATTATCCATTCTGGTGATATTTTAGTGAAAATAGTGGTACGATCATGTGTATCATGAATACATCTGTCAAAGTGAGCATAACAGTCAATGTTACCACTTGATGATGATGAGGTTGATGCATTCTCAAGCTCATCACCTGTTTCTTTCGCGATCCTCTTCAACATCTCTAGAATCCTCACCTATAAAAACCACACCCATCTCTTCCTCATCCTCAACTAACATCAGATTTGTCAGATAGCTGCCTCTACCACCTCTTAGACCCCACAACCACGACCACAGTCACCAAACTGTTCACGTCCACCTGTCTCTCTTTCCTTAGATTGCTTGAGATAGACCTTGCTCAAATGGCCTACTTTATCGTAGTTATAACACTTGTGAGTCTCCCTATGGACACCTGTCATACCTGAGTTCGAGACGACCAAAGTTGATCGTGTACTTAGAAATCCACTCAGCCCAGAGTGTAGTTTCATGCGACTCTTGTATCATCGCAACAATGACCTCATCCAGTGAAGGTATTTTCGCCTGGCTATGAGGACTAATCTCCATTGATCAAAGATCAGATTCAGATAGGCCAGAAACCGCATAATTCTTATTTATAGAAAGATCTCCCCTTTCTTGTACCCCAAATCACCACAGCTCGACATCGCTGAGAAGTAATCAAGGTCTGCCCACAACTGCTCTAAATCTATGGAGTACTCCTGAATCGATCGATCACCTTGTACCACTACCTCTATATCTCACGTTGAATCAGGAACACCCTCGTACTATTCTTAAACCCAACATAGATTCACTTCAGTTTTGCCCAGATGTCCCACACCTTTTGATTTACTTCTAATGATGAGGCAATCAATGGACCACCGAGTTGAGTAGTCAGGTGTAAAGCAAGGTGTATGTGGCCCCCACTCATACTATCACTCTTTGGCTCGAGCTCCGTCAGATATCTCTCTAATCTCTTCTCTACTAGAGCAGCCTCGATCCAACGCGATTAACTCAGATATGTAGCTAGTCCATCAATTTTTAGATCCACAAGAGGGAGATTTAACTTCACTCGCGTCAGAGCACGTGCTGAGGTTGTGGCTCCCATCGAGACGTTGGCTTCCTATATAAGCTCAACCAAGACCTTCAAAACTTCAAGATCTATCTTTCTCAAAATCTCCAATTCCTTACCTCCTGCCCTATCTCCATCTCTCGATATTCTCAATCACAAGGAACCAAGTCTAGATCACACAGATCAAACGCAACTACCTTGCTTTTCTTGACTTGATCTTGATCTATCTTATCATTAAGATCAAAAGCAATTTAATTATTCTTTATTTTGTATGCTCGATCGCCAGTTTTTGTTCCATGCAAAGCCCCCTATTACGTCCATCAAGCGACAGAGCAACCAAAAATTTCACTTGTTTCCCCTCCACGACCCAGTAACTAAAGGTGGTGCCCTCTCCCTATTCCTATGCAGACGGAGCTTGCAATTTCCCCTCTACTTGCAGCAAATGAAGGGATTGATGTGTGCGAAGACCTTTGAAACTCCGCGTTTCTTCTCTTTTCTATGCACCAAAACAAGAGCCGTGGGAACGCAGCCCCCATCTCCTTTTCATTTGTGTGGCAACAAAGCACACCGAGACTTTCGAAATTCCCTTCTTCTGCTCCTGTGTTCGGGAAATGCAACAACAGGATCGTTGCTATCAATGGAAATGAATGCAGAATTGCTGCGCTCACTGGAAAGCAACGACGGAATCATGCAACACATAGACCTTCAGAACTCTCTTATTGCGCTCCTTTGTTTGGGAAGAGCAACAACGATAACACTGCATACAAATATCTATGCAAGCAGCTCCCACCTCCTTGCGTGCGAAGCCGAAGCCCTATCTAATTCTTCCCTTCACAGTGCTAGGGCTAGGACTCTGATACATTCAAGACAAAATTGCTTTAAAGACTTGCTCTATTCATTAATGACCTAGGCTCATATAGAATCATACAGCATTCTTACAAATTGCCCCTAGACTCTATATTTCCTATTTATAATTAGAACCCTCAAAAAGATACGAATCTCAACAATAGGAAGCAGGTTAGCTTTGAAGGGTCACAAATGAGGAAAACAAAAAGCTGCGGGGAGTAGGCATATAGCATTCCGGATGGTGAGCAGCTGAGACTATAAATTCTGCATGTGGTGGATTTCAGTAAGCATCAGAGGCGATTGTACTGTAAACAGAGCTTAATAATTTTCAGCCAGCAAAAAATATAAATTTAACTCAATGCATATTTAACAGATGAAGAGGCTGTTAGAAGCGGAATAAATATCAGGAATGCATTGCTTGAACACCCAATGACGGATAGAGAAAGACTTCTGCAGTAAAACAAAAGCTGGGAGAAGTTTGAAAGCCATTACTCAGGAATTGGACAGCATGGGAACAACTAACATTATCCAAAGAGAGAATGACGAAAACCAGGAAAGATCAAAAAGAGGGATGATTGTAAAACACCCATTACAGGTAAGATAATTGAAAATAAGCTCTAGTGATATGGACATATATAGTAAAGTGTAAAAAATACCATAATAAAATGAGAAAATAAAATTAATATCAAAGGATTGTGAAACAAGAGTTAGATTAGCAGTAACATGGATAGAAATTGTGCAAAAAAAATGTAGAGTATATTTAACACCATATGCAAAGCTGAATAGAAAGAACTGGAGAATGAAGATGCATAAAGCCGTCCTCAAATAGTTAAGATGAGAACAAGTTGTTGATGATGTTCATAGGAGCAATTTTTATGGAACATTAATAATAATTGCAGTTCAAATATTTGATCACAGAATGCACATAAAATTGAATAGAAAATATAAAAATAATGGAGGAATCTATAAACTTCCGCAGTTTAGATTGGAAATTAAGTTTTAAATTAAATAACAAGTCTTTTACCTCGTAGCAATATAGACTGATCTGTCTCCTATAGGAGATTGAATTACTGTCTTTCCTCTGGGCAAGAGTATAGTTATATAAGGTAATCTAGCACCTGTACAGTTGGGGAAAGAAAAGACATTAAAAGAAAATGAAAGCGTGTAAAACGTCACATGACGATCCAATAAAAATACAAGATAAGTAGGCCACTTAAATTTTATAATGCAACAAAAAATGACATTGAAATTTTACATTTCTCAAAAACATATTATTTCCAAACTTAAAATTCCACTCAAGCTATAACGTTCCTTTATCATTTGTAAAGGTGGTTTGACCCAATGGAAAGATCATCAGCCAGCATAATAATCAAATGTTTATATTTCAATGTCCACATCTAAATTTGATGAAGGAACCAAAATGATATTTGAAAGAAAAAAGGCCTGATTACCAGCAGCTAACCGATGCTTCAAACCTTTCAAAATTGTTAAGATATAAACCTGAAAAAATTTGATGATTAAGTTAGAAATTGGACAGAAGATAATGTCTTGTCTGAAAACTCATCATCAAAATCATGCAGAAATTCACCCCTATATACGTTGAGTTGAAGATAAGCACAATAGTAAGCATATGAATAAACAAGCACCAGTAAAAAGAGTGACCGTTGAAGTTTTCTTAGCAGGCATGGAATTAGTAAACCGGTTGTGCAACCATTGAAGAGGAACCAATGATGGAATTAATAAAAAAACGCTAGTAGCTTACATAATGAACCACATACACAAAATATAACAAGATAATGATGTGAGTACAATATATCTATATGTATATGTGTGTATATATATATATATATATATATATATATATATATATATATATAATATATAATCAAATACCTATAACATAGAACTAGAAAACAACAAAGGGGAAAAAATAACTCATCTAGCCACCTTGTTGAAACCCAGTGAAAAGAAAAGAGCGACCATATTTCTTTTCACTAAAGCTCCATTTGGTAAATGGGATATGAATTCTCCTATCCACTGGAATATCATCACTTATCATCATCACTGAATATCATCGCTTATAATGCTCTCATTAGAATCGCCACCAATCATAATCTCTTCATCTTCACTCATACGAAGAAGAGAGGGAACATTCAGAATGTTAGAAATAAATTTCTATGTCTAGCTTGCGCATGGTATAGAGACCCTCACTTCAGTAGGGTTAATGGAGGCAGGCACAATGTCTCAGCATCCTGTGAAAAGTTAATGGTTTCCAAGTTTTGAGTGCAAATCTGAACTAATGACTGATAAGCAACAACTACTATTGGAGTATGAAGTCCCTAAATAGTTAAGTTTCCATATTACGATTTAAAGTTTGATTTCAATAGGACAAGAAGAGCCTTGAAAAAAATAAAAAAATTTGCATTAAATATTTTTACAAAAAGAACAATATGAGAGAATACCTTTAAAGGCTAATTTCTACCAACATCCACAAGACTTTAAGCCAATCCACAATTTTTTTTCCAAAAGAAGGTAACATTCATTTCAACAAAAAATTTGACCATGGAAGACCTCGAAACATGACCAATAGCAACATTCACTTGAAATTGTTTATCAAAGATAGAATCCAAAAAGTATACAACAACAACAAGCCTTTATCCCACTTAAGGAAAGCAACCTAGACAGGCTTGATAAGTGGTTTCACAATGCATCGATATGAGGAAAACACTTAAATATACACATCGAAACATCATTGACATAGTAGGCATGTCTAAAGAAGAGGTGTAGTCTAGATTAGAGGATATTCTTACAATGAAGATCAATAATTCCAACCAAATAATGGTCAAAGTGTAGATTTGTAAGGAATGTACAATTGGCATTCGTGTTTGGACAACCTAAGGAAAGTTTATCAATAATAGTCATGACCCAGCCAGGAGCTTGGAATTACCAAGACAAGAAATAGATGATCAGATGATAGTGTCATATTAGTCTAATATTAACAATAATCTATAACAATTAACCAAACAGTAAACTCACTAAACCACAAAATTTCTAATACATCTTTGTAAACAAAACAAAAAAATATCCAACTGCAACAATAATTTCAATAAAGAAATTTAACACTATAAAATGATTTCCTGGAGCATATTTTCACTAAAAAATAATTTCCGTCTTCTTCTGTAAGCATATCGCTCCTCAATGCCATTTGATTTAATGAAATTTTTCTTAAAATAAGCAGTAAACAAAAAGGTTAAATTATACAACAACTTAGCTAATAATTGCAGTTCTATTTTGTATTAAACTTAAATTCATAAGCTCTAAAATGTTATATGAATGTTGTTCAAAAATGATAATTAAACATTAAAGTTTCATTTTATTAAAACTTCTAAACTATATGACGCTCAATAGAACGCAATGGAGAAAAAAGATTCATGTATCCGACCCCACTTAGTAGGATAAAGGCTTTATCTTGTCGTAAAACATCCAAATAATAGCATATTCTTGAATTTTTTTAACATTTTTAATTTCATTTCATTTAATAGGTCGTAGTAGGAATACCGGTTGTATCAATTTAAATATATCAATTATTAGTGCTTTTGTCTAGTCCTTTTCATTTTCATTTTCATGCATGAGTACAATAGCTTCTCTAGCTAATAACATAAGGGGGTGACTCCTATGATTGACTTGTACATTTATTTCATTTGGTTTTCATTTTTTTTTTCAATCATTAAAATATTTATTAAACTTACAGTACAAATATAGTATACGAAACATTTATAAAAATTAAACATGCATTTAATTTGTCAATACTATCATAAGTCAATCATTGAAAAAATGAATGCATTTTTTAAAATTAAAAATAAGTTTAGTACAGGTAAAAAAAGAAAGAACTCATCTCGACTTTTAAATGATTTATTTTGTATTGTAACTTTAGCCTTCAATTCCTTTAATGCAGTACCAATTTATATAATTCAATTCTTTAATTATAATGTTTACAAGATAACATCATATTGCATTATTAGGTAGGTAATTGACTATATTGAATTTACTCATTTTTTTGGACTTTAATATTTCAAAATTAGTTTCATCACATAAATGACAATCTTAAATTAATTTTAATAAGCTTCAATCAAATTGTAGCATTCCTAATTTAGCTGCATACCTCAAGTCATACTTCTTACTTTACAAATCAGTTGTCCTTCCAAATCTACTCTTCCCAAATAAAAACCCCAAGTATTCCATCAAATTTAATTTCACTTTAAGCTATAAATATTTATATAAATTTACTTCATGTCAATTTTTTGCAAATTCAACAATCGATTTGAACCTTTGGATTCATATACTCTTTACAATTCAATTACTGATATGAATTCTTAAGAAAAAGAATTAATACCTAATAAATTTTAAACTAAACTAAACTATTAATGAAATTAAAAATAAACCTTAGACCTAAAATTTTATTTTATTTCTTTGCTCGAAATCCACACCACTCATCGTGAGCACAACATGCCACCAACTTCAAGTGCACTCACCAGCTTCATCTCCTTCATGCATAGGGCATCTATCCCTATACTTTATGTCGCCTCTCACTCAGTACATGTATCCTCTCCTTACACTCGACGCTCAACATCGCTCCTTCGTGCTCATTCAATCGAAATTGCTCGCTCTCCAATCATTGGTGCACATGACATTGCTCCTTTGTTACATGAACACAGTGTGACATCATTCACTGGAAATTGAATTGCTCGCTTGCTAGGGTTAGTTCATTCGTTCACATCGCACTAACCTCCTTTCATCTCCTAATTGATGGAACTATATCTTTTGTTCCATTGAACTCACACAGTAAGTTCTATATTTATATGATTATTATTTATTTATTTATTCAGTTATTACACTTAACTACACAAAAATTGGACTCAATTATTATGCCTGGACTCTCTAATGATGAATTTTAAGATGACTCGCACCATTGTTTTTATCCACATCGGATAGTTTAAAAACATCTCGTGCAAACTATCAGGTAGTTGGCCTTCACATATAGATCTAAGCTTTTGAGTTAATAAGCTTGATCATACTTTATATGGCCCAATTTTGATCCTCTTTCATTGTGTCACTAATAAATACATCTACAGCTTTTTATTTAAATCATTAACCCTTCAACATACAAATGTGCTCATGTATACATGTTGAAGCTTACACATCAGTATCACCCACTTCCTCTATTGGTTTCACCATTTTAGACCTTCAAAATCTCCAACTTCCATTATCTTACTTTAAAAAAAAGCTGTTCATCAGTATTCAAAGCTCACATTGGTGCTCTTTTTTGATAGGCGCCAATGTTGCTATCATTTGCACTCACATTGCTATCAGTGATTCCTCGTGCTTAGTGCGTGCTAGCGCCACCTGCGTTTATCTATTCCTCACCATTGCAATGCATCATGTGATTTTTTTTATGCGCATACATCCTCGTGCTCTCATGTACGTCCGTGCATTCACGCATTGCGACCATTGCCCAGCACCCACAGGTGTTTGCGTTGTTGCCTAATGGTTCTTGGTGGCTCATATGAGGCTATGTTCCTGTACTCCTTTACTAACAACTGCTCTCCACTTTGATTAATTTTCCATTGCTCTGGATCTTTGCCATCATAGCTATTTTGGGCAATCTTATCTCCCTTTTAGGTCTCAATTCCATTGTTGTACATCAGAAATGTGTCAGCACAAATCTCAAGGGATTTTAATAGACTAAAAAACAAAAAAATAAAGTCAAGACTTATTGGTGAAAGACCAAACGACACTTCAACGTAGCATCAAAGAATGTCATTGACCAAGGACAAAGTCCTACTGATCCGGACCCAAAGTCGACCGGATGCAAGCCGTCCGAACCAATGGCCCCGACTTATCTAACCGAGAAGAGGCTCCACCCTAACCCCCACCTCAATATTGTTGGCCATCTCACAAGAGTCACTGAGATTGTTCATCAGAAAGTTGAAGGTTTTACCTTGACACATTTCAGAAGACCCCAAAAGAATCTTTTGCAAAGGGGTTAGTTGTTTATCGGATTAAGGTGATTCCTCCTCTGTCTAACAGCCTAATATCATTATGGCGACAGGATTTCTCCATCTAGAGGGAAAGAATCAACAACCATTGAGCCCAACCGACCAAATCCAAGTCCGGATGACCAAATGTCATCAGAAGTTAATCAGTACATTCAAGTCGGCCGAGACAAAGATCAGATTATCATAAGCAATACTCAAATCTATCCACACACCCTACTCAGCATGGTTAGGAGGACAAAACTCGTCAGACCAAGGTCCTTATAGCCCCATGCCTAAAATAGAAGGGGTCATTTCTGCAGTAAAAGTATTCAAAAATCATTCTTACTGCTACTCATTACTGTGCACTCTCTTCCTCTTGGTCTCCATCTCTCTCTCCTATTTACACTCTATACCTTAGATGGGTCTCCCAAATAAATTCGGATTCAACATCCTAAAAAATGGGTT